GGGTACAGGATTAAAAGTGCTGATGTGCCGGAGGGATATGGGATTATAATATAAGTGCGGTGTGCGGTGTGCAGTGATCTTGGTTCTAACTAAAGTGCTTCTGGGATTTGGTACTGGGGTTCCTAGTCTGAAAAGGCACATTGGAACAGCCAGGTTTTCAAATTCTTTCTGAAGACTGCCAATGTAGGGGCTTGTCTGAGGTCTTTCGGGAGGGCATTCCAGAGGCGGGGGGCCACCACAGAGAAGGCCCTGTCTCGTGTCCCCACCAAGCGCGCTTGTGACGCGGGTGGGATCACGAGCAGGGTCTCTCCAGATGACCGGAGTGAACGTGTGGGTTCGTAGACAACGATACGGTCTACGATGGCCTCTGAGGTTTTTCACTGAAATATTGTTAAATGTATGTGTATATATAGTGTTAATGTGTTGTTGAAGGCTTTCATGGCCAGAATCACTGGGTTGCTGTGAGTTTTCTGGGCTGCATGGCCATGTTCCAAAAGCATTCTCTCCTAATGTTTTGGCCACATCTATGGCAGGCATCCTCAGAGATTGTGAGGTCTCTTGGAAACTAGGCAAGTGAAGTTTATATATCTGTGGAAGGTCCAGGGTGGGAGAAAGAGCCCTTGTCTGTTTGAGGCAAGTGTGAATATTAGAGTTGGCCACCTTGATTAGCACTTAATGGCCTTGCAGCTTCAAAGCCTGGCTGGTTGCTGCCTGGGGGGAATAATTTATTGATTTTAAGAAACAGAGAAAGACTAGCATCAAATATTAGCATTTCATGGCTTAGATATGCTTCTTCCAGTAAAGTTTTTCTCTAGTGGGTAAATTTGTCCATTTGAAGAAAATTTATGGCATCTTAACACATTATACCAGATGTGCAACAACAACAAAAAGAGCACAATGTACTATATTAGGACTTTATTTACTCTGATAAAAACACAACATCTTGTTGCAAATGTAATTTCTTACATCATTTTTTAAAAAGGGGGTACAATGCTGGAGTTTGGGGAAAGATCTGAAACTCAACTTTTCACCTAGCTAGTACCTGTAGTGCAATGGCATTTTAGAAAGTGAGGTGTGAGGCCTTCCACAGAGAAGCATTTCACGGCATGACAGTGAGTCCTCTTTGAGAGGAAGGTCAGTTCTGTGGCTTGGCCTTTTGCACTATGTAGGGTGACTACAAACTTTGCCCGCAGCAACTGACACTCAGCCAGCTCCTGCTAGCCAAATATTTATATATCTTGTTACAGTTTACTTTCAAGCTCATGCTTCCAGAGGTGTTCGCTCCCATTCTGAAGTGGTTACTTCCCTATACAGTGACATATCCTATTACTGTTTGCTTAGCATACAAGAGAAGCCAAGACACCATGGAGGGTAATTTTAGGCCTTCCTTTGTCCACACTGATTAGCTCTCTCTTTATGTCAGGCCAATGAAGGATTCTCATTCAAGACACTCTGAGAACCAAACTAAATGGGATGGCAATAGACTATCACTATGAATAGTGGACTGGTCTAGTCCTGCAGAAAGCAGAAGCTAGTAATTGGGATTTTCTACCCTTCAAAGAGCGCATGTGCAGGGGTGCATGTATTCTATTATATAACATCAATGGGAGTTTGTTTTCTGTGGTGCTCTGCTGGAAATGCTCCACCTCAAGAGACTAGAAAAGTTACTTATTGGAACACAGTTTACAAAATTTTAAAACTTTTGTGGTTAATTTGAGTGCCAACCTTTGTGTTACAAATGCATTCAATAAATATCACCCACTTACTCACTCAGAATCAGCAATTTGCTAGATTTTACAGGTCTCCCCCCCCCAAAAAAACCCCCCCAAGGTTCAAATAAGCTACTGATAATTCAGGAATTGAATTCCGTACACCAAGGTGACAATTTGGCCTTCTCTCTAGATCTTTTTGGATTGCAGTGCTCATCTTTCCTCACCCCTGGCTAGTGCTGCTGAATGTTGTAGCTCAACATCTAAAACCCAAATGATCCCCATCCTTACAGAAAATAGATTCTCGGTGTTTAATCTTTGTTGTTTATTCATTCAGTCACTTTCAATTCTTCATGACCTCATGGACCAACCCATGCCAGAGCTCCCTGTCAGCTGTCATCACCCTCAGCTCCTTCAGAGTCAAGCCAGTCACTTCAAGGATACTATCCATCCATTTGCCCTTGGTCGGCCCCTCTTCCTTTTTCCTTTCATTTTCCCCAGCATAATTGTCTTCTCTAAGCTTTCCTTTCTTCTCATGATGTGGCCAGAGTACTTCATCTTTGCCATTATTATCCTTCCGTCCAATGAGCAGTTTGGCTTTATTTCCTGGAGTATGGACTGGTTGGATCTTCTCGCGGTCCAAGGCACTCTCAGAATTTTTGTCCAACACCACAGTTCAAAAGCGTCTATCTAAAGTAACTCAAGTATGATATTTACAAGCCTACTGGTATTATGCAATCATAGAATCAAAGAGTTGGAAGAGACCTCATGGGCCATCCAGTCCAACCCCCTGCCAAGAAGCAGGAATATTGCATTCAAATCACCCCTGACAGATGGCCATCCAGCCTCTGTTTAAAAGCTTCCAAAGAAGGAGCCTCCACCATGCTCCGGGGCAGAGAGTTCCACTGCTGAATGGCTCTCACAGTCAGGAAGTTCTTCCTCATGTTCAGATGGAATCTCCTCTCTTGTAGTTTGAAGCCATTGTTCCGCATCCTAGTCTCCAAGGAAGCAGAAAACAAGCTTGCTCCCTCCTCCCTGTGGCTTCCTCTCACATATTTATCCATGGCTATCATATCTCCTCTCAGCCTTCTCTTCTTCAGGCTAAACATGCCCAGCTCCTTAAGCCGCTCCTCATAGGGCTTGTTCTCCAGACCCTTGATCATTTTAGACGCCCTCCTCTGGACACATTCCAGCTTGTCAATATCTCTCTTGAATTGTGGTGCCCAGAATTGGACACAATATTCCAGGTGTGGTCTAACCAAAGCGGAATAGAGGGGTAGCATTACTTCCCTAGATCCAGACACTATTGAAGAGCTCTTGTGCTTGCAACCATTAGGATTAGAATTATATTTTAGTACTACCCTGCCTCAAATGCAAATGAAGTTGTTCTCTATTTATAACCCTCTGATGTCTTCATACTATTCTTCTATATTTTAGGTCCACCAAAGCAAACACAAAACCAAAATATAAACCCATACTTTATGAAGGCTAGGCAAATGTTGAACTGCCATGACATGACTCAAAAGTGCTGGCAAGCAACTTACAAGGTAGTTTTTGGCCACTGGGTGGTCAGAAAAGAATACACAATGATTAACAAAGTGAGTTGCAGTGGGTATGCCATCATAACTTACCAGCTAGGTGCTAATTTCTGTTTCAAACATTGTAATGAGCATTGGGAACACACTGCTTCACAGCAGAAACATAGCAGGTAACTGAGCTAAACAAAAGGTGAGCTGTTGAGGGAACTTACTGCGAAGCATGACCCTTCCGAAGACAGTATGATCTCTGTCCAAAGTGCTACAGTTCCAGCGGTGGTGACGGAATTGGTGCTGGCATTCCCGAATCCATTCCTTAGCTCCATCCCCTACTGACTGCATGATGTCAGGATATGTTTGGCATAGATGCCGCTGCTGGTTGACCAGTCCAGGGATGTTGTCACAGATCACCTTTGTCCCCAGTGCCCCAATGTACCTGGAGAGATAAGAGAAATGCGTGTGAAATGATAGTATACCCATAATTTACACAGTGTCTAGCAGCTCTTGAAAAATCAGAATCCTCTAGTGGTTTAAACATTTGATGATTCCAGAGATCAGGGTTCAAATCCCTACTCAGCCATGGAAACTGTCTGAGCAGTTCACATAATCTCTGCCTCATCATTGTTTCACTGTGCTCAATGCAAGAGTGACAATCAGGCAGCTTGCCAGAAACAGTTGGATCTTAATAGGGAATACTACTATTATACGTCTGATTAATAGCTACCATCCGTATCCATGCCCCACCAGCTCAATGGATATCTTGAGCAATGATCAATCTATTTGCACCAAGGAACTGGGAAATTGTTGCTTCTCTTCTATGTTTGATGTTTTGTCTTATGCCTGTTATAACAGGCTGCATTTTTTAAAATTTAATTTTAGTTGTTAAGTCATAATTTGTGTTTATATGTTGGGTTGTTAAATTGTGTTAGTATGGATGTATTGTTGTTGTATCCAGGCATTGAATGTTAGCCTTTTATCTTTGGAATCCACCCTGTGTCCCTCCGGGGAGATAGAGCAGAATATAAATAAATAAATAAATAAATAAATAATAATATTTTACTGACACAAAAACACAGTATGACACAGCAATTAAGATATATATGCTGGATTTTGTATCACAAAATCACAAGTCAAACACTTCCCAAATGTTTAGGACTGTGTGATGTATTTTCAAATGATGTGCACAGATCCAAGTAAGGTGGTCTTTGCAGTTGACAGATCTTTTGGCATGGCACCCAATGTGCCGATTACCACTGGGACCACCTGTACTGGTTTATGCCAGAGCCTTTGAAGTTTGATTTTGAGGTCTTGATAACGGCTGACATTGCTGACTCTGGTGTGCTCCTACCCAATCACCACAACTTTACGGCTCTATCTGGCTATAAAAAAAATGCTTTCATTATTGGTACAGAAGAAATTACTCCTCTAAAATCCAGCACTGACAGTTTGGCTCTTTTAAACAGAATAATTTCTTTCTCTGCACATCTCTAATTCAAAACTTGAAACATCTGGACACCAGCTCTTGTCCAACCCATATACCCTTCCAGGTTGGTTCTGAAGCTCTCAGGACCAGCACACGGGAATGTAATGTTTCCAAACAAATGTTTCCCTCCAGCAAGGAAGAAAAGCTTGTTTCAGCTTTGATGTGACTTGCCCATATGTCAGTCCTACACTAAAATTCAGTCTGAGGTGGAACGGGGACAGGATGAGGAGGGAATTATATTCAGGGACAGCATGTTGCTGAGCCATCAGGAAAATGCATTGTGTCTAACACAATTATCTCAAGTCAGAGCCTCAGGCCAAAAGAGCACGCAATGTTGTGTTGAATTATTGTTGTTAGGAATTAGACAAGCTGAAGAGCAAGATTTCCCAGTGCTGCCAAAAAAGCAAAGCAGCAAGGTGTAGCTGGAAGGATGAGCAGGAGTCTTTGGAAGGGGTCAGCCTGGGTTTAAGATTCCTGGTGTATTCTGCAATGTCAGTGCTACTCTCCACTTAAGAAATTCCAAACCCATGAGACAAGAATACCAAAAAGAGACTTACAAAATACATTCCTGGGCAATACCTTGAACCTGTAAGGGGCAACTCTGAATGCTAGATTCTTAACTGAAAGAAAATCAACTTCAACAGCTGCACTCAACGTTAATCTAGAAGATAAGAATAATACATACGCAATATCATTCATTATACATTTGACTATTGTACCGCTTACTTATCTTGATTTGTCATAGAGACAGGTAGAAATATGTGGCTATGTAGACGGATCTATGATGGAATAGTGGCTAGAATGTCAGACTCAAATTTGGAAAGTCCTGGTTCAAGTCCCAATGAGGCATGAAACCTAAAGTTTGTTGTCAAAGGCTTTCATGGTTGGAATCACTGGGTTGCTGTGGGTTTTCAGGGCTCTATGGCCATGTTCCAGAAGCATTCTCTCCTGACATTTCACCCACATCTATGGAAGGCATCCTCAGAGGTTGTGAGTTCCTCTTAGGATGCCTGCTATAGATGTGGGCAAAATTTCAGGAAAGAATGCTTCTGGAAGATGGCCATACAGGCCAGAAGACTCACAGCAACTCACAACTTAGTGTTTGTGTTTCATTTTCTCTCTGTTTGACTGGTCAGACAGGGTTGTTGTGAGGATAAAGTAGGAAGGAGTTGCTTATTGAAAGAAAGGAGGCACAGAATTGTAACATGTAGTATTTATTTATTTATTATGAATATTTAAATAGCCTATTTAAAGGCTTCAGACCATTACATGTATATTATCTGAGTAGGGCTTACAAAAAGGATGAAAAATTGGTAGTGTCTCTATTCAATATTGCAGACTTGTAACCTAACATAACAGTCTGTAACTAATCTGATACTCAGTATTTGTTGGAATTTGGTTCAGGACCTCCATGGATACCAACATCTGTGGAGGCTTCTATTATATACAACACCATAGGAAAATGGTAAAAAGGCATTTTTCCAATATATTTCAAACAGCGGATAGTTGAATACATGGATGCAGAGGGCCAACTATATGCATCCTTACTGTTAAGCTGCATAAATGCCACTACAGTCCACGTTGGGAGCCTGTTGCCAGATTGGGTGAAGAAGATTAATTCATCTGGCAATTTGGGGGTTAGGAGGAGGATGTTTTCACCCCTTTCCATCACCAGAAGCGTGATCCAAGTGGCAAGTGCTTGTTGCAATCTTATTTGCTGGCAGGAAATGAGAAGAAGCATTGTCTTTCTTGTCCCCCAATTGCTAGCTAAACAGACTTCCTTAGTTCATTCTGGTGGCTGGCTCAAAAGTGTATGGGGTGGTGGTGGATCAGGTCAAGAGATGTTGGCTCCCTTTAACTATGTAACCAATCTAGGATTTTAATGATTTCACATTCCTGAAATTATTAGGTTAATGCCTTGTCTGCATATATCTTGATGGTTTCTGATAGAAGTGATATCTGAACCAGAAGTTGAATTAGGTTCTTGTGGGTTTTTTCGGGCTATAGGGCCATGTTCTAGAGGCATTTCTCCTGACGTTTTGCCTGCATCTATGGCAAGCATCCTCAGAGGTAGGTCTGAGGATGCTTGCCATAGATGCAGGCGAAACGTCAGGAGAAATGCCTCTAGAACATGACCCTATAGCCCGAAAAAACCCACAAGAACCTAGTGATTCCAGCCATGAAAGCCTTCGACAGTACAGAAGCTGAATTACTTCTGGCACAAAACAGTTTGACTTGCCATCTTTATTCATGTATCAGTTGATTCCATGTATAAGTCGAGGGCAGGGTTTAAGCCCAAAAATTCAAATTTTGATATGCTCCATGGATAAGTCAAGCGTCGTTCCATGGAAAGGGGGAAGGGCCAGCAGCATCTCAGGAAAGCAGCTGCTCTGGCCATTTCCATTTTTCACCCGATCATTCAAAAGAAGCATAAGTGGTGCCATGGTGGAGAGAATTGTCCCAAGATAGGCTAAGCTCTCACCTTTCATCGCTCTACACAGAGAAGGGGATGGTTTATTTTTTGATGGGTGTTAATGGAGCAATAATAACATTGGTGCATAGAGAAGCCAAGCCAGGTTCTTTCTTTTTTTTGGTGGGGGGGGGGGGTGTGATTCTTTTTACAAAATTTCTAGACTTATACATGTGTATAAAACTATTTTATTTGATTTGCATGTATTGTCAAAGGTTTTCATGGCTGGAATCACAGGGCTGTTGTAGGTTTTTCAGGCTGTATGGCCATGTTCTAGAAGCATTCTCTGGTTACCAGTATTAAAAAACACTCTACAATTTTAACAGTCAATAAAAATCAACACTCAAACACTGGGGAACTCCAGACAAGAAACAATTAGGGACAGCTAATTACCTGTCAACAAAGGATTCCTCCAGGCAGTAACAAGCCACACTTAAAAACTGTCAGGCCATCAAATGCTAATCAAGGTGGCCAATTGAAACATTCACACTTGCTTCCAACAGAAAAGAGTTCTTTCTCCCACCCTGGATCTTCCATAGATAGATATATAACCCAATTTTCCCTAGTTTTCAACAGACCTCACAACCTCATGAGGATGCCTGCCACAGATGTGGGCAAAATCAGGAGAATGCTTCTAGAACATGGCCATACAGCCTGAAAAATCTACAACAACCCAGTGATTCCAGCCATGAAAGCCTCTGGACTCCAAGGGATTTCGTCCCAAGATAATGTGCATACAATTTCTACCTTAGATAAACAGAATTTCCACATTTCATCTATCAATATTCTGCTTCCCTTAACTGGACCCCGAAGGCGTCACCACAGATTAAAATAATGCAGATAGTCAAGTAAAGTGTGGAATTTTCCATATCCATTAAAGAGCATCCTTCTTTCATTCCAGACAGAAAACAGTAATTTTTAGTTTTTCAAGCTGGAGACTGGCTTTTGCCACATACCTCTAAGTTGTATTTCTGGCTGAAAAGGGAACGATTTGGGCAGGGTTCAAATGTTTCAAGTTCCTAGACTGGAATTAAGGCCCTCCCTTTAATAATAAGGAGGGAGAGAAACAATATGCCTGGGCCATATTTCACTGTCTATCTCGCCATCTGCAATCATTTGTATTAGTCATGGAGATAGCTCACAGCCTTAGAAAAGCTTTGCGAATACAGACGAGGGCCCGTTATTTTTCTCCTTTTAAAATATTTGGTTTAAACTCTGGTGAGAAGTTGAGGTCATCTAGGGCTGGCCTGGTGGATAATAAACACTGCTCCCCACAGCCTGTGCAAGGGAGGGCTGTTTTGGCTAACACACATTATTTTCACAAGCTGGCTCATCAACTGTTCAACAGCCAGCAAACACACAGAGATGATGAGGAAGAGAAGGCAGCAGTAATTGAGAGCCTGGAAAGGTTACATTTTGGACCCTGCTGGCTAGAGGAGTCTGGGAGCTGGTGCCCAAGGTTTCAATCCTTGCACGAATAGAC